CTCTAGAGGATCCCATTTAAACAAGAGGATTATTGTACGAAGCTTTCACCCTGGGAACTCCATCATTATCATCTGTTATGGTCCACATCATTTACTAGCTGCTCTTCTCTTGGAAGCACAGGACAACCTAACTGTCTTGATAAAGGAATTCAGTTTAATTAGACTAACCATTGGCCACTACACTGTCTATGATAAAAGGATCAGATACAAAGTATGAGATACTGTAACTGTATGAGACCTTGTTTAATATTATGTACTGATTATAGGTAATGAATAATGAGTGTCTTGCAGAGGAGATTAAACTAGCTGATGGAGAGGAACAAGAACTGAGGACTTTACTTAATTACAAAGAAGGTGTGTGAGTTGATCTATTACTCAATTATACTTATACTGATGGTATAGGATTGAAAAATAGGCAGATGAGTATGATCAAAAAAAGAAAAGGTTATAGCTAATGAATCGTGAAAAAATTTATAGATGTATGCATGTATTTTATATAGTACAATTGATGCTCTCACGGAGTGTACAGATGCTAAGGGACAATTTAGTTGAGAATAAAATTTTGAAAGCAAAAGCAAGTATGATTTAATTTATGATTTTTAGGCAAGGCATCAAGTTACATTGTGCATGGCATTAACATTGAATGAAGAGATACTAAATTAGATTATTGTCACTATTATTACATGTTTGTATTAGCTGAGAATATTCAGTTACTGCAAGAAAAAGTATCACTAAAGGAAGAAGTTGAGTCATTGAAGAAAGCACTGGATAAGAAAAACAAAATGCTGACTGCCAGGATTGCAGAGATTGAGAGTTTTAAAAGGTTATCAGGTAAGTTTATATGATAGTTTATTATTAATTTTACTTAAATTGGTCAGGTGAGAGCAAACAAGAAATAGAAATGTTGCTAGAGAAAATATCAAAAATAAGTGAAGAACAAAATGACAAGGATGAAAGTTTAAAAGCAGCAACAAGAGAAAAAGAAATTACAAATTCAAAATTAGGTATTTAGTTATTGTTCTTTTTTGGTGAAATTATGTCATTTGTAGATGAGATGAGTCAGTTACTAGAAAAAGAAAGAAAGGTTTGTTTATTGCATAATAGTGCATTAATTGTACAGTTTGGCTGCATGATCTTGTATCAGTTTGATACTTTCATATAGGAAAGTATAACAAAAAAAGAAGCAATGTCATTAAAGGAAGAGCTGGATGCTAAAAGCAAAATGCTAAATGCCAGTATGACAGAGAGTGATAGATTTAAAAGAAAAGCAGGTTTATAAAAGTTTTTGGTTTATTATGATGGTTTTGATTGTTTTGAAGGACTACGTGTAGTGTACACTGGTATTGAGTGTATGGATCACAGACAGACAACCAAAGTACTTAATACTCGCCTATGCAGCGAGTCCAAAAATGATGACGTTTTCCCATTGACAGCAAAAAAATTTTTTTAGTAGAAGTCTTAGCCATGCAAATGTTTGATATTCAATTATAAATTCAATACAGTAGAACACATAAAGAATAGAAATAACTCGAATGATTAAAGGAAACATTGTATAGTGGTTTTTTTAGGATAATAATTTTTGCAAATGACCTATATCTAGAGGTTCACAAAATAAATTTTCACAAATTTCCAATATTCTGCCATTTTGTACAGTATTAAAATGATTTTCAAGGAATTTAATTTCACAAAACATAAAAAATTCACAAAATTTGTTATGCATCCTCAAAAAACCCGCTATACAGTAACTTAGAATAAGTTATGACAAAAGATTTTATAGATTTCAAAAATAACATTTACTAGAACTAACTTTATTGATAAATTATTTGTACAATTTTTAAAACCTTAC